TTATCGATCTTTCTTCACCATTTTTCGACTCTGATGAGTATAGTGCGTTAAGGGAAAAGTATTTAGAATCTAATATGCCTGATTTTCAAGTAACAGGGAAATTTATATACCACCGGACAGATTTTGATAGGGGAATTGAGGATAGTTCAGCATGGAAACTTTTAGTGCCTGAAGGACTCCGAAAAGAAGTACTAGTTGCTTCACATGACCAGCCCTCAGCTTCTCATGGCGGTATTGCCAAGACCCTGGAGAGAGTCCGTAGGTACTTTTATTGGCCCGGCATTGTGGCAGATGTCCGAAGATACATTGCCAACTGCGAATCTAAAGTACCCAATAGAACTTTGCGACCTCCCATGGGCCAAATGCCTGAGTCAGATCGTCCTTTCCAGCGTTTGTACGTGGATTTCATAGGTCCTTTTCCACGTAGTAAAAGTGGAAATATAGGCGTGTTTATCATACTAGATCATTTCAGTAAATTTTCATTTTTAAAACCCTTTAAGAAACTAAATTCAAAACTTATGATATCATACCTCAAGGAAAGTATTTTCGATTGCTTTGGCGTCCCCGAAACCATAATTTCGGATAACGGGAGCCAATTCAAAAGTAAAGATTTTATGGAATTTTTGAAAAAGCATGGCATACGGCATATGCTAACCGCTGTGTATTCGCCACAGGCGAATGCCAGCGAACGCGTTAACCGGTGTGTCAATGAAGCCCTTCGATCTTATATCCGTGGGGACCAAAGGAATTGGGATGTTTTCTGAGTGGTATTAACAGCTCCTTACGTAGTAGCATTCACCAAAGTTTAGGGTATTCTCCGTACTTCGTTGTCTTTGGACAAAATATGATAAACCATGGTAGTGATTATCAAGTTCTCCGTAATTTAGGTCTTTTGGCAGAGCAAATATCTCCTCTAGCTCGACAAGATCAGTTTCAATATATAAGAGACATGATAAAGGATAGAATGAAAGTCTCCTATGAGAAAAATGCCAACACTTATAATCTCAGATCTAAGTCGCGTAATTTTGAAATTGGCCAAACTGTCACAAGAAGAAATTTTGCTCAGAGCAATCTTTTGCAACACTTTAACGCAAAATTGGCTCCAACCGGTATAAAGTGTAGAGTATTGGAAAAGTTGGGAAATTCCTATTATGTTTTACAAGACCTAGAAAACGGAAATAAGTCACAAGAAGAGCAATCTTTTGCAACACTTTAACGCAAAATTGGCTCCAACCGGTATAAAGTGTAGAGTATTGGAAAAGTTGGGAAATTCCAATTATGTTTTACAAGACCTAGAAAACGGAAATAAGTCGACTTATCATACAAAGGACATATGGTGAGAATCTTAATTCAGATATCATATATATTATTGAAAATTTATATAATATATCATAACTTAAACCGAAAATTTCATCCTTTTTCAGTTTTCAGTTTGCGGTTTCCCTTAACTAATACCTGTTTTGTGATGGGTGAAATTCAATTTCTTCATAAAAATGATATATTTTCATTAAAAATCTACTACTCTATCTCAAGTCATCAAAATTTTATTTATTTCAATTATATTTATATTGTGTCATGCATGCATGATATCATTCATAATATAATAAACAGTACAATTTACTTAATGAGATGCTCATCACTGACAGAAGTAATACGCATTATTTTTTTTGTATCTACTCTTTGAGTTTTTTTTATTATGCTTTAAGTCATAATAAGATCATTTGCATATACAGCTTTGAGTATAGAAAAGTTACTGTTAGGGTATCCGATTATTAGGAAGAAATAAAATAATTAATTTAATTTGTAACTATGAAAATTCTTTATTTATTAATACTGTATAAACGTAGTTTGAAGCTAGTAATAATGTAGAAATCTATCGCCTATATAAAAATTAAAACAACCCCAACTAACGACAAAAGTATATTCAATTAACTTTTTAATTGAGGCAATATAATTTGTTATATTTACATAAATAAGTTTTAAATATGGAATTTATATGAATATCTCTATATAATGTTGAGTTGTTCATATAATTAAGGAATCATAAGTTACTCCTATAATAATTGTTAGATTGGACAACCTACTAGTTAGTAGTACCACCTAAGATCGCTTAAGTACTACTCTGAAACTGGGCCTAAGTGCGTAGTACAAAATGCGTAATAAAAATTGAGTGTAAATTATTAAAAAAAGGGTAACGGCTACGTTTTTTTATAACATTCCACACATTCCTCACATTCTTTGATTTCTGGCCTTTTAAACATTCTTTTTAAATAAAACGCAGATTTTAAAAGAAGATAGTGATAGTGAAAGATCTAAATTATATGCGATCAAAGTTTCATTTGTTAAAATAAGGAAAAGTTTTATATGATAGAAAATATTAAAAGTGCTTAAATTTACACTTATTGAAAATCTTGTGAAACTAATTACTACCAAAGGATAATACATTAGTTATCCAGGATCAGTTTTTGCCACCCATTGAGTGGCCATAGCATTGTCAATCTAAATACACTTGACATTAAAAGTTTCAAAACTGATCACCTGAATATACCCAGTGAATTGGAACTTGGTCTAATCCTGGGCCTCGTGTTCAGTGCACCCTCCTGTACAGAGATTTACGAATCCTGCTACACTTCCATATGCCCATATGAGTGGATTATCCCCGGTAATTTCCAACATCTGTCGAAATCTCGACTTAAAACGAAGTACAAATCTATCAAATCATTGTGAGGTTTGGTTACCAAATCTAATTCACCAAAAGGAAAGAAAAGAATATCCTCGTCAGACGACAACATAATTACACCCCCTTTGTTAAACCTGAAATCACGTTTTTATTAATTCAACTTTAAACATGTATATGTAATATACACCAAATTAACACATATCCACATTTAACTTAAATTCTAACAAAATTACATTCTACCTTTATTCTACTAATTAAACTATACTTAAATTCTAACTACTTTCTAAATTCCAACAAATTCTAAAATTACACCTTAAGAATTATGTAACTATAGACTTTAAAACTTTTTACACATGGTGTTTAAAGTAAGTATGTAATGATTTAAATCTATACAAACTTCACTTTACACACAATGAATAACAAAATTTAAACAACTAAATCAATTATTCTAAACGTTTCTATTGCTATTTTTCTAACTACTCATATTATGAAAACTTAAACTTAATATTTCTAAAAACTTTATAAAATTTAACAATTTGCCTTAATACTAACTAATCAGAATGAAATAATTAACCTAAACACTATTATAAAATTTAAATTTATTCTTATGAAGTAATTATTTATCCTAAAACCCTTTAACAAAATGCAAAATTAATTTTCGTATTGAAAACCCTAACCAATAATTTAAAAGACAAAAAAAAAAAAAAAAAATCTATCTCATCTTACTTAACGAAATATCACCAGATCATCAGGCCTGTTGACATCGTGGGAGGAAAAACATAATGTAAGTTAAAGAGAACTAAATAATAATAATTAAGAGAAATCATATGGCTAGAACAAGAGCGAATGATAACTGATATCATTAACTAATAATGATCTCTTGATTTGTATGTATAATTGATTTTGATTTTTGCTTGTTCCTCCAATATGATCTCTCTTAAACCATATATAACATAACTCCTTAGAAAGAGAAATTTAAAATTTAGATAATTACTTACATACGTTCAATTTTTAAGAAATTTTAATTTGCATTGTGTTACATATATTTATATATATATATATATATATGTAAGTAAATCTTTATATTTTTTTTTGTTGCATTTATTTTGTAAACTATGAAATTGTTTTCATGGGAAGTATTCCTAACAATAATATTCAATATTATAAAGGCTAATGTTAAGATTATAAAATTATTCTCTTTTTATGAACATAAATATTAATAAATATTAATATTTATGTTCTAATATGAATAGATAATTTTCTTCTTTTGATTTGGTTGACGAAATGTAGATATAGGGTTTAGGTAACATAGCATGATGGGCTGATATATAACGTTTATATGATCAGCAGGTAGGGTGGGCAATCTGATCATGAGGGAAATTAACACCTTTTTCCTCTTATGACTAGCAGATAATATTACACTATACTGGAGACTATTTCTTTATCTTTTCTCTTCTTTCCTGCATACAATTTCTATCTTACATTGATCTGACGTGACCTCCCCTTATTAGGTATCACAGCCTACGCCCATTTCCCTGAGCTAAGACCGAAGCAAAGCTAGGTGTGCAGACCAGTGATAGCCTGGGGTTGGTCGATTGTTCGTTACAGATAATTTAATGGCGCCCAACGTGGGGCCACCCTTTTCCAAGGACATTTTAGTTAACTAACACCAAAAACTATATATTTAGAAAGGCTCCACTTACATATTAGTATTTTTCTTTAACTATCCTAAAATATTTCTTATTTTCATCTTTCTTATAAGATATTATGGAATTTACGTATTTTAAGAGTTACACTCTAAAACGTACCAATATCTGCTGGAAAGAATTTTCTCTAAAGTTTATTATTGTCACTTTAAAGCTTGGACTTAGTTAAGTCGATATTTGATGTCAGTTTAATACCAACTTAAAAAACAATAGCCTCTATTTCTAATTGTTTTGTTTATGTTTAATTCATTTTTCATTTTTGGACTTTTGCAAAATGCTGCTTGCGTTTTCCTACCGTTTGGGATGAAATGTTTGACATTTACAATATCTTTAAGTTAATATTTTTTTTATTTGAGACTTCTTTTCTTAATAAAATTATTTAGAATTATACTCAATAGAACATTTATTCTTATAATCTTCTTTTTCTAAAATATTTCTGCTAGTTCAAATTTCTTTCAATAAATCTGTTACCAAAACTTTACCTATTCTACAAATTAGTCAACCAAAACAAATATCTTTATATTGCTTGAAATCAACTAAAAACTTTAGATTTGTTATTTTTTTTTTTGTTTAATATTTGGATTCGTTTCTTGTTGAGCATTTAATACGTAATTATGCCAGTCTCTCGCAGTCCTGAACAGGCTGGTGCTGAGGCATTAGAAACCACTGAACAGCCACTTTGTATTATTTGCAATGAGAACTTAGGTTCCGAAAACAAGACTGTTACAACTTGTAATCATTGCTTTCATTCACCATGTTTACGTAGATGGTTAGAAACTAGTCCCACTTGTCCAGTTTGTCGTCAGCCTTGTAATAATTTAGATGGCAATAGCCAAGATTTTCAACCCACACGTCTTGCTCCCTCTAATACAAGAATAGAGGAGGAGCAATTCCTCGTGATCGTCCGAACACAAGATTATATAACCAACAGCAACAACAACAAAGAGGTTTAGGTTCTTCGGAACAAATACATACTCCTGGTAATCGTCGTCGTACTGACGCACTTTTCATATAATCAGCTCTCAGAACAAAGAGTTCACAATATAATATCTGACTCACTAAATGCTTTTAGGGAAGAATTTACTTCTATAATTTCTTCTGAATTACAGTCTATGTTTCAGAATATTAATATAGGAAACAATAATCGGAACAATAATAATACAAATTCTCCTAATTTGGCCGATAATAGGTCACAAATACCAAATTTAGACAATAGAAGGACAAACCCTTCATCAATGATGAATACAGGTCCTAACCCTACACCTGATTGGCCACAGGATAATCCTTTCAGAGCTGACCAATCCTTTAGACCTGCACAATCTCATAGACGTAGTGGTCATATACCATTACCAGTAAATGTTGATAATTCGCCTCTTACCTCTCATCAAATCTCAAATTTGATAAATAATTGGCGTGTAAAGTATTCGGGTTTAAATAATGATATTTCCATTGATGAGTTTATATACAGAGTGAATACTTTAACTTCAATTCACTTAAATGGAAATTTTGATTTGCTCGTGGAACATGTACATTCTCTTTTCGAGGGCAAAGCTCTCAAGTGGTTCTGGAGATTCCATCGCCAGACTGATACCACGCCAGTATGGTTTGATCTCTGTGATGCACTTAGGAGGGAATTTAAAGATACAAACACTGATTACGATATCAAGGATGATATGCGTCGTAGGAAACAGAAGAATTCTGAAAGTTTTGATTCCTTTTTGGACACCATGATGAATCTTAGTGATAAACTTAGAATTCCTTTTAGTGAAAGTGAATTTGTTGAAATCATAATTAGAAACTTGAGAACAGAATTGCGGCATGAGTTATTGCATTTAAATATTAACGACATTTCTACGTTACGAAAAGAAGTAAGGAAGCACGAAAAATTCTTTGAGGATTTATCCTCTCATTCGTCTTCAAGACCTAGATATTCTCGCCCAAACGTATCTGAGATTTTGCAATCCTCTGAGGTAAATGAGCTTGAACAGGAAGAGTTGTCGGAAGAGGTAAATGAGGTAGTTGCTTCAGCTATATTGAAATGTTGGAACTGTGATGCCCCAGGCCACCGTTACCAAGATTGCCTCGCTCCTCGGCGTGTATTTTGTTACGGGTGCGGAGCCGTTGATACATATAGACCTTCGTGTCCAAAATGTTCAACCAAACAGGAAAACTACATACAGGATGTCCGCCGAAATGCGAACGGACATCCACAGAAACAATTCAAGAATTAGATAACAGTACAACTTTAATAAACCCAGACTTTCCCGTAGTACTTAACAAAGACTACACAATTCCCAGTAATATAACCAATTTTCAGAATATTTCTCCAAATCGAATCAAAGTTTTACCATATCATGAAAGACTCGAACATTATTTGAAAGTTCGCTCTAGGATATTTTCAACTCTAAAAAACAGTTAAGATCCTCTATGCGTATACGTAATTTTTGGATTAGAAGAAAACAACTTAAAAAGTTCGTAGTTTCTTCTATTGTCAATAATGGTACAGATACCAGACCCTTTGTAAATCTTTGTATTTTGAATAAAACATTTTTATCCTTGCTCGATAGCGGAGCAAATAAGTCTTGTATAGCTGGTAGTTTGTGTCAGGAGATTTAAATGGAACAACTCCAGGTCTGAACAAATTCATTGGAAATGTTAAAACAGCCGATGGACATCATCAACAGGTCGTAGGTTCGATTTCTCTTGATGTACAGTATGGTAGTCTTACGAAAAAGTTGAATTCTTATTAGTACCCAGTATTAAACACGATATCATCTGTGGAGTAGATTTTTGGAGTATTTTCGGATTCAAAATAATAACACCATTAGACACCGTTTTAATCCTCTTCTGTACAGGAAACCCCTTGTATAAATGAAATTGCTTTTGTTGATGATAATGATTCTGACTTTTTGAAATTGAGCCCGTCTGAGCAACAAAAACTTGATTCAGCTGTTGCTTCTTTCCCTTCGTTCGAAAAAGAAGGCTTAGGTTCTACTGATCTTATCGAACACTTATAGATACGGGTACCGCTGCTCCAATAAAGCAACGATACTACCCTATCTCCCCAGCTAGAGAGAAATTACTTTGCTCAGAAATTGACAGGATGTTGCAGTTAGGGGTGATAGAGGTTTGCGAGAATTCGCCATGGTCTTCGCCAGGGGTGCTATTGGTAAAACCTGGGAAAATCAGATTCTGACTCTCGTAAGCTTAACGAGGTTACCGTCAAGGACGCCTACCCTATCCCAAATATAGATGGGTTAATCTCACGATTGCCTCCTGTGAATGTGATATCAAAAGTAGATCTGAAGGACGCATTTTGGTAGATCAGTCTGTCAAAAGAGTCCCGTCCAAAAACAAGCCTTTACTGTCCCCAATCGGCCACTTTATCAATTTGTGAGGATGCCCTTTGGGCTTTGCAATGCCCCACAAGCTATGTGCCGATTGATGACAAGGTGATACCCTACGATTTGAAAAGCCACGTTTTCGTATATTTGGACGATCTACTTGTGGTATCACATTCACTGGAGGAACATATCGTTCACCTGCTCCAAGTCGCGTCATTGTTGAGAAAAGCTGGTCTCACAATCAACATCAAGAAGAGCCAGTTTGGATTGAGTAAGGTGAAGTATTTGGGATATGTGGTAGGCAACGGTACCTTAATGGTTGACACCCGATAAGGTCAAAGCAATATCTGATTACCCCTGTCCCAAAACTGTAAAACAACTGCGTCAATTTCTAGGTCTAGCTGGGTGGTATAGGCGATTTGTTGCAGACTACGCTTCTATTACTTTCCCCCTTACGGAGCTTCTATCGAAAAGGAATCCTTTGGTATGGAATCCTGAAGCTCAGGTCGCCTTTGACTCCTTGAAGAAAAGCTTGACAACTGCAACCGTTTCTCGCACACTCCCGACTACCGTAAACCCTTCATCGTTCAATGTGATGCCAGTCAGAACGGAGTGGGTGGTCTCTTGGCTCAACGGGATGATAATGGGGATGAACGTCCTATAGCGTTCATGTCCCATAAATTGAACCGAGCCCAGAGAAAACTACTCCGTTACTGAACTGGAGTGCTTGGCAGTAGTGCTAGCCATCCGCAAATTTCGATCCTACATTGAAGGACATCAGTTTACGGTAGTCACGGACCATGCCAGCCTTAAGTGGCTCATGGGTCAAAAGGATTTGAGTAGCAGGTTGGCAAGGTGGGCCCTGAAGTTACAGGGATTTAACTTTTCGATAGAGCACCGTAAAGGGAGTTGAAAATGTTGTGGCAGACGCCTTATCCCGGTCCTTTGATGTGGAATGAACCATTTATAGAGGCTTTGGAAGTAGAAGCCTTACCGATTATCGATCTTTCTTCACCATTTTTCGACCTCTGATGAGTATAGTGCGTTAAGGGAAAAGTATTTAGAATCTAATATGCCTGATTTTCAAGTAACAGGGAAATTTATATACCACCGGACAGATTTGATAGGGGAATTGAGGATAGTTCAGCATGGAAACTTTAGTGCCTGAAGGACTCCGAAAAGAAGTACTAGTTGCTTCACATGACCAGCCCTCAGCTTCTCATGGCGGTATTGCCAAGACCCTGGAGAGAGTCCGTAGGTACTTTATATTGGCCCGGCATTGTGGGCAGATGTCCGAAGATACATTGCCAACTGCGAATCTAAAGTACCAATAGAACTTTGCGACCTCCCATGGGCCAAATGCCTGAGTCAGATCGTCCTTTCCAGCGTTGTACGTGGATTTCATAGGTCCCTTTTCCACGTAGTAAAAGTGAAATATAGGCGTGTTTATCATACTAGATCATTTCAGTAAATTTTCATTTTAAAAACCCTTTAAGAAACTAAATTCAAAACTTATGATATCATACCTCAAGGAAAGTATTTTCGATTGCTTTGGCGTCCCCGAACCATAATTTCGGATAACGGGAGCCAATTCAAAAGTAAAGATTTTATGGAATTTTTGAAAAAGCATGGCATACGGCATATGCTAACCGCTGTGTATTCGCCACAGGCGAATGCCAGCGAACGCGTTAACCGGTGTGTCAATGAAGCCCTTCGATCTTATATCCGTGGGGACCAAAGGAATTGGGATGTTTTTCTGAGTGGTATTAACAGCTCCTTACGTAGTAGCATTCACCAAAGTTTAGGGTATTCTCCGTACTTCGTTGTCTTGGACAAAATATGATAAACCATGGTAGTGATTATCAAGTTCTCCGTAATTTAGGTCTTTTGGCAGAGCAAATATCTCCTCTAGCTCGACAAGATCAGTTTCAATATATAGAGACATGATAAAGGATAGAATGAAAGTCTCCTATGAGAAAAATGCCAACACTTATAATCTCAGATCTAAGTCGCGTAATTTTGAAATTGGCCAAACTGTCACAAGAAGAAATTTTGCTCAGAGCAATCTTTTGCAACACTTTAACGCAAAATTGGCTCCCACCGGTATAAAGTGTAGAGTATTGGAAAAGTTGGGAAATTCCTATTATGTTTTACAAGACCTAGAAAACGGAAATAAGTCCAAGAAGAGCAATCTTTTGCAACACTTTAACGCAAAATTGGCTCCAAACCGGTATAAAGTGTAGAGTATTGGAAAAGTTGGGAAATTCCAATTATGTTTTACAAGACCTAGAAAACGGAAATAAGTCGACTTTCATACAAAGGACATATTTCCGTTTTCTAGGTCTTGTAAAACATAATTGGAATTTCCCACTTTTCCAATACTCTACACTTATACCGGTTGGAGCCAATTTTGCGTTAAAGTGTTGCAAAGATTGCTCTTCTTGGTGACTTATTTCCGTTTCTAGGTCTTGTAAAACATAATAGGAATTTCCCAACTTTTCCAATACTCTACACTTTATACCGGTTGGAGCCAATTTTGCGTTAAAGTGTTGCAAAAGATTGCTCTGAGCAAAATTTCTTCTTGTGACAGTTTGGCAATTTCAAAATTACGCGACTTAGATCTGAGATTATAAGTGTTGGCATTTTTCTCATAGGAGACTTTCATTCTATCCTTTATCATGTCTCTTATATATTGAAACTGATCTTGTCGAGCTAGAGGAGATATTTGCTCTGCCAAAAGACCTAAATTACGGAGAACTTGATAATCACTACCAGGGTTTATCATATTTGTGTCCAAAGACAACGAAGTACGGAGAATACCCTAAACTTTGGTGAATGCTACTACGTAAGGAGCTGTTAATACCACTCAGAAAAACATCCAATTCCTTTGGTCCCCACGGATCATAAGATCGAAGGGCTTCATTGACACACCGGTTAACGCGTTCGCTGCATTCGCCTGTGGCGAATACACAGCGGTTAGCATATGCCGTATGCCATGCTTTTTCAAAAATTCCATAAAATCTTTACTTTTGAATTGGCTCCCGTTATCCGAAAATTATGGTTTCGGGGACCCAAAGCAATCGAAAATACTTTCCTTGAGGTATGATTCATAAGTTTTGAATTTAGTTTCTTAAAGGGTTTAAAAATGAAAATTTACTGAAATGATCTAGTATGATAAACGCCTATATTTCCACTTTTACTACGTGGAAAAGGACCTATGAAATCCACGTACAAACGCTGGAAAGGACGATCTGACTCAGGCATTGGGCCCATGGGAGGTCGCAAAGTTCTATTGGGTACTTTAGATTCGCAGTTGGCAATGTATCTTCGGACATCTGCCACAATGCCGGGCCAATAAAAGTACCTACGGACTCTCTCCAGGGTCCTTGGCAATACCGCCATGAGAAGCTGAGGGCTGGTCATGTGAAGCAACTAGTACTTCTTTTTCGGAGTCCTTCAGGCACTAAAAGTTTCCATGCTGAACTATCCTCAATTCCCCTATCAAAATCTGTCCGGTGGTATATAAATTTCCCTGTTACTTGAAAATCAGGCATATTAGATTCTAAATACTTTCCCTTAACGCACTATACTCATCAGAGTCGAAAAATGGTGAAGAAAGATCGATAATCGGTAAGGCTTCTACTTCCAAAGCCTCTATAAATGGTTCATCCACATCAAAGGACCGGGATAAGGCGTCTGCCACAACATTTTCACTCCCTTTACGGTGCTCTATCGAAAGTTAAATCCCTGTAACTTCAGGGCCCCACCTTGCCAACCTGCTACTCAAATCCTTTTGACCCATGAGCCACTTAAGGCTGGCATGGTCCGTGGACTACCGTAAACTGATGTCCTTCAATGTAGGATCGAAATTTGCGGATGGCTTAGCACTACTGCCAAGCACTCCAGTTCAGTAACGGAGTAGTTTCTCTGGGCTCGGTTCAATTTATGGGACATGAACGCTATAGGACGTTCATCCCCATTATCATCCCGTTGAGCCAAGAGACCACCCACTCCGTTCTGACTGGCATCACATTGAACGATGAGGGTTTAACGGTAGTCGGGATGTGCGAGAAACGGTGCAGTTGTCAAGCTTTTCTTCAAGGAGTCAAAGGCGACCTGAGCTTCAGGATTCCATACAAAGGATTTCCTTTTCGATAGAAGCTCCGTAAGGGGGAAAGTAATAGAAGCGTAGTCTGCAACAAATCGCCTATACCACCCAGCTAGACCTAGAAATTGACGCAGTTGTTTTTACAGTTTTGGGGACAGGGGTAA